CAAAGTATCAGTATGCGAGCAGATTGAAAATGTTTTGGTGACAAGCAGTTGGGCGATGTGGAAAATTTAAAAGACAATTGAGATTAGCATTGCAGAATGTCTACATGAAATGTTGAACATACAGAAACAGTATATTGAGATGAGGAAGCTGATGAAAGGTTCACGTGCAACGGTTCAATCATTCTAATAGGACATGTACAGTAGTCGATAAGAATGATACCCTCCCACATAAACAGCCAGGTTCAGAAATCCGTTTCACTCCGTTTAATCATCATAATACCTGAACCACACATCCACAGCAATGAAAATGTTAAGATATGGAAAAGAATAGGAGGACAATAACACTTACTGTAAAATACCAGTCCACGACCCGCCATCAGCGAGTACTACGGTTAAAGATAAAACTTAGCTGATACGTTTGTTGGCTATAACAGTAGTTTATTATTATTATTATTATTATTATTATTATTATTATGTTTATTCTGGCAAAGGCATAATAAAATTACAAATATCACATTACATAAGCAATTCAATAACAATTAAAATCAGTAATAAATTATTGTGGATTTCTTAAAATTATTAATTATAAAATATAAGATATCACAGAAGAATTTCACATACCTTACCTTACGTGTATGGCAATAACAGGCACAATGCGGGATTTCCTAGAACAATCAAATGTACATGTTATACACCTAAGATACTTCCTGTAGTGTAGTAGTATCAGTAATTCCGGAGATAATAGATCCGATTCCGGTTCTTAGTCAATCCCAAGATTCATTCGTACTTCTCGACCATTACCCTGTACTTACCTGTAGAGTATTGAGATGGCCCGAATAAAAAAGCAGTCCAGACTTTTTGACGCCATTTGTATGAGTTGTGTTGTCTGTCCGTAGGCTAATTAAGAACACTTCCAAAAGCGATGGAGGAGGGGGAGGCTACAAATAATATTGGAGGGGTATACTTATGATGGGCAAAAAAGTATACAGGTACTTTTATGATTGGGGATATAGATATGATGTGACACCGATCAGTGCTAAGTAGTAAACCATAGCCTGGAGTATATAACGGACGTGAAGAGAGGCCTCGATGACTTCATGATAAGTATATTGGGCCTAGTTGATTGTCGATGCTTTCAAATACAAAGAAAGAAATGTTCTCAAACTATTGACAGTGAATAAGGCACAAAAATGATGAATTTAAAAACAGATTTTTAACCGGAAAGGGGATATATGTAGCAAAATAAGATAACAGAATTACTTTACTGAATAAAACCTCTCTAAAACTATGAGGGCAAGGTCTCAATTGTCTCAAATAATTCAAAAAGCATTAAGTGAAAATTACGATATTTTTAAACCAGTCCTCACAGATGCTAGTTCTTTACATTACAAACATTTTAAATATTTTATGTAACCATTTTAGCCAACATTTAACTTCGAACTAACATTATATCCCCATATGAATGGTTTCATTTTGTCTTGAAACTAAGTCATCTCCTCATAATTTAAAGCTGGCACAGGTTTCAAGTTTCAAAAAGAAAGATCAGCTTGACAACCATAATCAAAGACCTGTTTGAATTTTATCATCCACTTCAAAAAGTTTTGAGAGAATTTTAATTTCAATCATATATTTAATCATTGACCCCAGGAATCTATTTTAGGACCATTAATCTTTAATGTCTTCATAAACAACATTTTTACTATGTTCACAGAAAGTTACCTCTCTAACTATGTTGGCGATAAAAACTCTCCAATTTTGACTTTTACCATGTAAATTTAAAGAAAAACACTGAAAGTGGAGCTCAGTATTTTAATTTAGTGGTTTGAAGACAATGGGAGGAAGGCCAATCCTGAGTGATTTCAGGCCATATCTAAAGGGGAAAAGACACATAACATAGGGTTGTCAGTCGGTGCAGTGGTAACGTGCTCGTCTTTCATCTAGTTGTCTGGGGTATGACTCCAGGAATGGTTGTGAAAAGGTATGGGGTCACCTGCCAGACCAAGTTGGTTTTCCCTGTGTACTCTGGTTTCCTCCCACAGTAAGACCCCATGTGTGCTTCCATCCAGGCCAACAAGAGTGTTTAATTTAGTTGGGAAAAACTTGCTTCACAATTGTTGTAAAATGAATAAAAAATTTTATTATCATTATTATTACATGAGATATAAAATGTGTAGATGTGGTTAATCTAACATTTGTAAGAAAGCATCCAAGCAGTTATATGGGTTGAAAAGAATTGTCTGTAAGCAAGCAGGGGAAATTTTAATTTTTAAAACTGTCATTCTTTCAAATTTTGATTATTGTCCCCTGCCATGGCTTTTTTGTAGTAGGAAAATGGAAAGGATATATTTGTTTCATAGAATTTGAATACATTATGTCAAATTTGGAACTTTTAGTGATATGTAATCTATCTATTTTGAAACAGAATGAAAACCGTGGTGTATGAAGTATTTTTAGAATTACAACAAATGTAGTTTCTGATAATTAAAACAATCATCTAACTTTGAAATCTTCTTTTTATTACCTCAGGAGTGAAAGACAGCTGGAGCTTGTAAGAGTTGGAACAACCAGGTATGGTTTGAAATCTTTCCACAATAAGGCAGCCCAGGTGAGGGATAGTATGCCTAACCATTTGAGAAAGGTAGATAATTATCCAAAGTTTGTCAGGCTGCTGCACACCTGGGATGGCCCTGTGTGCTCATGTTTTATTTGTACCTGAGTTTAGAATTCTGATGTATCTCAGTGTTTTAGTCTTCTTTACTGCTATATATCTTCTTTTTGTGTTACCTGTTTGTTTTATGTTATATTTCAAAAATTGTGTATTAAATTTAATTTATTCAGCTTGCCTTTTGTTTTTGGGTAATGCTTTTTGTACTCCTAACTGGCAGTATAGTTTCCAATCGTCTGCTTCTAACATTTGTTATAACATCAGGGTTTTCCATAATTTTGTTAGTAGTAGGCTGTGTAGTGAAAGTAGGAGGCTGGCCTGCCGTGTACGTGTAGTCGTATACGGAACATTATTACAGAACTGGATTGGTGTAGGCGGCCAAATGATCAAAGTAACCGGTCAAATTGGCCGGCGACCGGCCCTTATGGAAAACCCTAAACATAATATCTTATTAAGTCATCAGACGCGAAGGATAAGCTTTCCATTCAAATGACTTCTTCTCAATAACCAATCAGACCAGGGTGCTAATATTGAGTCTGCAGCAATTATGGATAAAGTGTAAGCAAATTTGTAAATATAAATTATCTTGTGTAATGTTTAAAATTCTTTGAACAACCTCGTCTCAATAACTAAAAGGCTTCGGGTGCTGATATTGGGCCTTTTGCAAGCTGGGATTATTACTTCAACATTGCTTGTCTTTTAATTTACATTGCATTACTGTATATCATGTCTCCTACAGCAGCACCTATGTGATATGCAGGTGCTCACAATTATATCACAATCTTTATAATTTTCTGGTTGTGATATTTCACATCATTGCCTGTGATAGACCTAATTATGCACTGCTATGTTATTACATGTTTTACTCTCCACTTGTATTTCTATTTATGTGTAAACAGTCTGTGATAATTTGTATGTAATAAACACATTTTCTTTGCATTTGTTTCTATTGCTCTTAATTTCGTTTGGTGCAAAAATAGTGCTACTTATGTTATACCTGTTTGACATATATGGTATTAGATAAAGCTTCTTGTATCTTGCATCTTGTATCTTGAACGAGCTTGGCATTCATCTTTGCTGTTAAAAACTTGGCGTTACTTGGAAGATAGAAATCCTCTACTTTCATTTTCAATCAATTATTTCCCTCTCCATATATCACAAAGACAGGTAAAAGGCTTTGACCATTTTTAATAATACAAAACATAATGAATACAAAAGCCTTTTCACTCAAGATTTTCACTTTTCACTAAAGTTCCATCTTTAAAATCCATAATTACTGTTATACATTTGAAAAGGGTGAAACAACTGTCAGAATTTCAGGAAACTTTCATTTCCACACTATATTAGGCTATTAAACATTAATTTTTGGTACTAGCAAGGCCATAAGTATAATTTAGCAAAGCAGCAACATTCCTTTTGCAACAACAGTAATTAAAGTATATGTATACAAACATGTACTTCATCAATAATTGAACAGATACTGTACATACGCAAACACAGAATGACTTGTGATATTGAACCTTACCTAGCAAACTTATGTCTGTTGTCCATCGTTAGTGTAGAGTTCAGACAGAATGACCTGTGATATTGAACCTTACCTAGAATATTTAAATTTGTTGTCAATTATTACTGTAGAGTCCGGACAGAATAACCTGTTATATTGAACCTTACCTAGAATACTTAGGTCTGTTGTCGAGTGTCAGTGTAGAGTCTGGAAAGAATGGTCTGTAATATTGAACCTTAGCTAGAATACTTAAATCTGTTGTCGAGTGTCAGTGTAGAGTTCGGACAGAATGATGTGTACCTCGAATACGCATGTCACCATTGTCTGAAGGTCAAAGTTTCATGCATATCGCATTTTCACATGTGTCATGTATTTTAATTTTAAACATTTTTGAATCCCACAGGATAACGCCTTATTTCAGACAAATGTAGAAAACTGTCATAACTAAAGATTAACCAAAATTGTAAATTGTGTAGTTTAAACATGTTTAGAATCCGTAACAATTGGAATGGCAGTTGTTGGCATGCACAATTTACATTTCATTACATGTACAATATGATTTTAAGACTTATTACAGGAACAACTACAGCATTGTCACTCACTGTTGATCTCTTGATATTTAGATGTGTTAAAGAAGTCATAATGACCAGACATGTTCGTTCATAATTCCTATGAAGTCCTGCAGATTCTAACATAACACCATCCTTATATCATGTCATCTTTTATTTCTTTTAATTATAATCAGTTTAATATTTACCATTAAGGTTTATGTTTTATGTCTTCAGATAATATAATGGACTAATCTAGCAAAGAGTTTTGCAAAACCTGACAATGGGTATGTATGCTTACCTCAATCACAATCATACCTTAATTGTGTTTGTGCTTAATTGTTGTATTTCCTCAGATACAAACTGTAAAGGAAATCCTTCCAAATGTAAGAAGCAATGAATAATTTGGATAAAACAGAATATTTAATGCAGAAGTAAGAAAAATTGTTAACTTGCACAGACTGAACAGCCTGCATTCAATAGTGTGTAACATGACCTTGCTTCGTGCCATCAGGTTTACCCAAGCTGGATGTAATTTTATGAGATGAGACAAATGTAAACACACTTCCATCTATTATTTTTCTAAAGGTAACACTAAATAACAACAATGTCAAATTATGTAACTAAATAACACTAAACGCCATCCAAGACAGACAGAGAACAACCAGTAGCGCTAAGCTAAAATCTGTATACATTACAGAAGTATATGTTTTGGTTTGTTTTTTTCTATGTCTTCTCTCAGTACCCAGTTCAAGGTCACTGTTACTGAAAACTCAGCCTGACCTATATTACATCATAATTGTAGCAGCCCTGACCCCTGAAAATTATTTATGCAAGTTTGCAATATCAGAAATGTCATTGATGCTGTCCATGACTTGAAGTACATTTTCCTTAGCAATTCCCAGATGGAGGATAGGGTATATACATTCTTGTTTAATTTCAAGCTCATGAGTTATTTTCTACCATTCTATCCTTTATTTCAATCCCTTATGCACAGCCTTGTTAGATGATCTTGGCACTTGATTTTACATTTTTCCTCCATGGATGTAAATATTCTCACATCAGTAATTTGTCAACAATTCTTGTGTTTGTTGAGTCTGTAATGTACATAACTGTCAAATTTAAACAGGATCTTCCATGACAAAATTTCAGAGTGGCCTAATTTTTTAATATTGAACAGGCAGGCAAATTTTCATATATTGCATGCACTTTCTTGAATTTTTTCAATCCCCTATAGACTTGGCTCCATTAAAGTTATGTGTAAACTTGTATCTATTATATGTATTCAAGATTGTAAAGACGATGAGGAAGATCCTCCGGGAACTTCCCACTGGGAACATAAGAGGAAACACACACCTGATTCACCAGACATAGTACACAAGAAAACGAAAGTGGATACATTTCAATCTGAAAGGCCAAGAGAGAATCTCCTCCCAAATATGATAGCAGCTGTTTCAGATGTGGAAGTATGCAGCAGTAACACAGATGCTGGTTCTGCTCCTGTAGGTATGTGATACAGAAATTTACATGAAAGGCAATGTTTGCATAATTTTATTCCAGGAATGTGAAGCATAGCAAGTTGTATAAGTGCCGAATAAGTTACATTTATTATTGAGTGCTAAAAACCAAGAGTATATTGACTCATGAGGCAGACAGGGGAGTGGAGAGCAAAGGGAATGTTCGCTAACTTTCTAGCTAAAACCCCTGCATGCTCTAAAAGTCTGAAACATCAATGGGAAGAGATTAGTTGCAAATATGTCTCTTTGTATCTTACCCATCCCACAAGACATATCAGAATATATACATAATACCAAGAACTTGTGTCATCATTTTCACATTACCACTACTGCAATTTTAATACTTTGTCTTTGTAGTCAGATGATTGTCAAGGCCCATGGGCCTCTTGTTTTTAGCCCACCATCTGATGGTCCGAATCCATTGTCCATGTCCCGTCTGTCCATTGTCCGTCTGTCTGTCTATTCTAAAGCATTTCTTGTTATTATCTTGAAAAGTACTGAATGGATATTTTTCAAATTTCATATGTAGAGACACCTTGGTCCCTAGCTGTTTACTTGCCCATTTTCAGACTGATTCAAAAATTAGCATGGCCGACATTCAGCCATCTTGGATTTTGACAGTAATAGTGTGTTATTGCTATAGCTGGAGAAGTACTCCATGGATCATTCTCAAATTTCATATATATAGATTCCCTTTGTCCCTGGTTGTGCCATTTTGATTTTGGGACTGTCAGAAACACTAAATACTGAGAGGCTACCATCTTTTATTTGGTAGTTGAAGATTATTGATGCTATTTCTTCAGAGAAATTTTCAAATTTCATGGAATTTAGAGAAAAGAAGTGAAAAGATCCTACTTAAAGAGCAAATGAAAATCAATCATTGGTGGGTGCCGATATCCCCCTGATATCTCTTGATAAAAATGAGAGATATATATATGCTACATTGATGTGTCAGTGTTATGGATCGATGTGTCAGTTTTATATAAAACTACATGTATTGCATACATTGTAGATATCATACAGCTGGTCAAAGTTACAAAATTATGATATGACTATTTCATATTGATATTATGTGAGCAATATGTATTTTTACAGATGAGGACAATGAATCCACTGATTCAGAATGTGATATTGATCAGCCAACACTCTTGGAACAATTGAAGAACATACTTGATAAATACCAGGACATTCAAATCATCCGAGTAAGTGACAGGGTTTTACTTTTTCAATATGTCCCATCAGTATTTGATTTGCTCAGGGTGATTTGTTTTATACGGGGTAGTTATGTAAAGATCGTTATGGCATACTGATTATAGCCAACCATCAACAATTGGTGAAAGGTTTTGAGAAAGTTTTTCAATGCCTTATAGAGGAGCAGAACTGATGGTACAGTAATGTTTTATTTTTACATAAATGTATCTGTGGGGTTTAGCCACAGTGTCATGAATTTGTCTTTCATTTGGTTGGCAAATAAACCATTTTTACGAAATTTTCTGAACATTTTACTTTCTTAAAAATTCTTCAGTTTTTGGGATGTGACTTTACGTATTGATGTTTTTAGATATTTATTTTTTTTTATTTATATATTGAAATCATTGGTATAAATAATAATGGACCGATACTAATGTAGAAGTTGAGAGCATAGGTCACCTTACTAGCTTCAGCTAATGGGAACTTCCCTATAGTCGAGTGGTAGAGTGTGAGGCTAGAGACCAAAGGGTTGCTAGTTCAACCCCAGCAGTGGTAGTGTGTTTTTCATTACTCCTTATTATTACACTAACAAGGATATACGCTGTAAAATGCACATTGGAAAGAGCAAGAAGGGACTGTCATGTTCATCTTTGGGGTTATTTATTGAAATAAGACAGTTTCTTCTTTGAATATCAAAAACCTCAGCCTGGGGTCATGCTTTATTGGCAATGTTCTTTGTTTTTAATCCCTAAAACAACTCAATTTTACTCGGTACAGGTGAAAGAAATTGTCATTCTCAGTTGACACTCCACTTGGAGTAAAGGTGGAAACACAATAGGGTTGAGTGAAGGTTATACCTCATTTGAGCCACAGTTAAAAGAAATAATATGGACTATTACTGAAGACTGAAGATAATGAAGGATAGATGTAATCTTTTGGAGACCTTGGATAATGTTAATTCTTTTTTTGAAAATTCAAGTTGTGCAAAAAATACTGTGATAGCTATTTTAGGAATAATTGAAGGTGAATTGTCAGTTCATGGGCAACGCCTCTCTATGCTAATGGAAGTTTTCAAAGTGTGACAGGTGATCTTGTAGATACATATCTCAGCCGTCTGTCAGTACAATTATTAGACACGTTTCTGGTGCTATTGCATCCAAGCAAAATGCTTACATTAAATTTTCTAACAGGTCTGAAATTATACAGATGTTAAAAACAAATCTACGCTCCAGTCACACTTGGTTATAATCCCACTTAATTCCCCTTAATAACCCTTCAGTTGCACTTGAGTGTCCCTCATATGAGTTACACACAAGCATTACTTGAAGTATTGTTTCAGAATACAGCCCTTTGTCTCACTGTGACCTCTATTGTTTAGCAAAGATGAACACTTCGACATTGAGACACAGAACTCATCCTATGATTCATTTGCTTCTTGATTTTAATTTTTTTAATTTCATTTTCTGAGAGTTGTAAGCTAGTTAAACTGTAATTATAAGCTTAGATATATGTAACTATATATTTATGACCTGGTCTGACTGTCACTGCTATGAAAGGGTCAACAGTAATGGTCAGATGGCTAAGTAGTCCTTAGTTTGGTGAAATGATAATAATAGTCGCCGATGCTGTACTGACAGATGCTTATGAAGGGAATTCTATGTTTGAGGTTTAGCAAATAAATTCAGTGCAAGGGAGACAATCCTTACAGCTAATGTGATCTCTTTCTGTAACAGGAATTGGTTCAAAATGCTGATGATGCCAATGCCACAAAGATGAAGATTATTTATGTGAATGACAACTGTGAAACAACAGAAAAAGACAATGGCTATTATTCAGATTATTTCAGGGTGAGCTTTAAATATCATCTTGTTTTGTATCATAAAAACAATTTTCAAATTAAAGATACTTCTACAAAAACATCTGTCATATTATTAACATACAGATGTGACTACAAAATATATTTTATCTCAATATATGTTATTAAAGCTACCCCATATATTTGATACAGAATTTTGGTTTTCTTAATGATTGTTAGTAATACCTTTGTTGTTTTTAAGCTATAGGCAGATGATTCTAAATATTCTCTAGATGTTTACCCTTTAAGATTAACTTTTGTTTATATGAAATTGTTCATTTTTGTCATGTTTCTACAGTAGGATTTACTTTTGTCTATATGGCATTGTTCTTTTGTCTATATGGCAGTGTTCTTTTGTTGTCATGTTACTACAGTAGGATTTACTTTTGTCTATATGGCAGTGTTCTTTTGTCTATATGGCAGTGTTCTTTTGTTGTCATGTTACTACAGTAGGATTTACGTTTGTCTATATGGCAGTGTTCTTTTGTTGTCATGTTACTACCGTAGGATTTACTTTTGTCTATATGGCAGTGTTCTTTTGTCTATATGGCAGTGTTCTTTTGTTTCATGTTACTACAATAGGATACTTTTGTCTCTATGGCAGTGTTCTTTTGTCTATATAGTGTTCTTTTGGCAGTGTTCTTTTGTTATATGGCAGTGTTCTTTTGTTGTCATGTTACTACAGTAGGATTTACTTTTGTCTATATGACAGTGATCTTTTGTCTATATGGCAGTGTTCTTTTGTTGTCATGTTACTACAGTAGGATTTACTTTTGTCTATATGGCAGTGTTCTTTTGCAGTGTTCTTTTGTTGTCATGTTACTACAGTAGGATTTACTTTTGTCTATATGGCAGTGTTCTTTTGTCTATATGGCAGTGTTCTTTTGTTGTCATGTTACTACAGTAGGATTTACTTTTGTCTATATGGCAGTGTTCTTTTGTCTATATGGCAGTGTTCTTTTGTCTATATGGCAGTGTTCTTTTGTTGTCATGTTACTACAGTAGGATTTACTTTTATCTATATGGCAGTGATCTTTTGTCTATATGGCAGTGTTCTTTTGTTGTCATGTAACTACAGTAGGATTTACTTTTGTGTATATGGCAGTGTTCTTTTGTTGTCCTGTTACTACAGTAGGATTTACTTTTGTCTATATGGCAGTGTTCTTTTGTCTATATGGCAGTGTTCTTTTGTTGTCATGTTACTACAGTAGGATTTACGTTTGTCTATATAGCAGTGTTCTTTTGTTGTCATGTTACTACAGTAGGATTTACTTTTTTTCTATATGGCAGTGTTCTTTTGTCTATATGGCAGTGTTCTTTTGTTGTCGTGTTACTACAGAAGGATTTACTTTTGTTTATATGGCAGTGTTCTTTTGTTGTCATGTTACTACAATAGGATTTACGTTTGTCTATATAGCAGTGTTCTTTTGTTGTCATGTTACTACAGTAGGATTTACTTTTTTTCTATATGGCAGTGTTCTTTTGTCTATATGGCAGTGTTCTTTTGTCTATATGGCAGTGTTCTTTTGTTGTCATGTTACTACAGAAGGATTTACTTTTGTTTATATGGCAGTGTTCTTTTGTTGTCATGTTACTACAGTAGGATTTACTTTTGTCTATATGGCAGTGTTCTTTTGTCTATATGGCTGTGTTCTTTTGTCTATATGGCAGTGTCCTTTTGTTGTCGTGTTACTACAGTAGGATTTACTTTTGTCTATATGGCAGTGTTCTTTTGTTGTCATGTTACTACAGTAGGATTTACTTTTGTCTATATGGCAGTGTTCTTTTGTCTATATGGCAGTGTTCTTTTGTTGTCATGTTACTACATTAGGATTTACTTTTGTCTATATGGCAGTGTTCTTTTGTCTATATGGCAGTGTTCTTTTGTCTATATGGCAGTGTTCTTTTGTTGTCATGTTACTACTGTAGGATTTACTTTTGTCTATATGGCAGTGTTCTTTTGTTGTCATGTTACTACAGTAGGATTTACTTTTGTCTATATGGCAGTGTTTTTTGTCTATATGGCAGTGTTCTTTTGTTGTCATGTTACTACATTAGGATTTACTTTTGTCTATATGGCAGTGTTCTTTTGTTGTCATGTTACTACAGTAGGATTTACTTTTGTCTATATGGCAGTGTTCTTTTGTCTATATGGCAGTGTTCTTTTGTTGTCATGTTACTACATTAGGATTTACTTTTGTCTATATGGCAGTGTTCTTTTGTTGTCATGTTACTACAGTAGGATTTACTTTTGTCTATATGGCAGTGATCTTTTGTCTATATGGCAGTGTTCTTTTGTTGTCATGTTACTACAGTAGGATTTACTTTTGTGTATATGGCAGTGTTCTTTTGTTGTCTTGTTACTACAGTAGGATTTACTTTTGTCTATATGGCAGTGTTCTTTTGTCTATATGGCAGTGTTCTTTTCTCTATATGGCAGTGTTCTTTTGTTGTCATGTTACTACAGTAGGATTTACGTTTGTCTATATGGCAGTGTTCTTTTGTTGTCATGTTACTACAATAGGATTTACTTTTGTCTATATGGCAGTGTTCTTTTGTCTATATGGCAGTGTTCTTTTGTTGTCATGTTACTACAGTAGGATTTACGTTTGTCTATATGGCAGTGTTCTTTTGTTGTCATGTTACTACTGTAGGATTTACTTTTGTCTATATGGCAGTGTTCTTTTGTCTATATGGCAGTGTTCTTTTGTTGTCATGTTACTACAATAGGATTTACTTTTGTCTCTATGGCAGTGTTCTTTTGTCTATATGGCAGTGTTCTTTTGTTGTCATGTTACTACCGTGGGATTTACTTTGGTTATATGGCAATGTTCTTTTGTCTATATGGCAGTGTTCTTTTTTCTATATGGCAGTGTTCTTTTGTTGTCATGTTACTACAGTAGGATTTACTTTTGTCTATATGGCAGTGTTCTTTTGTCTATATGGCAGTGTTCTTTTGTTGTCATGTTACTACAGAAGGATTTACTTTTGTTTATATGGCAGTGTTCTTTTGTTGTCATGTTACTACAGTAGGATTTACTTTTGTCTATATGGCAGTGTTCTTTTGTCTATATGGCTGTGTTCTTTTGTCTATATGGCAGTGACCTTTTGTTGTCGTGTTACTACAGTAGAATTTACTTTTGTCTATATGGCAGTGTTCTTTTGTTGTCATGTTACTACATTAGGATTTACTTTTGTCTATATGGCAGTGTTCTTTTGTCTATATGGCAGTGTTTTTTGTCTATATGGCAGTGTTCTTTTGTTGTCATGTTACTACATTAGGATTTACTTTTGTCTATATGGCAGTGATCTTTTGTCTATATGGCAGTGTTCTTTTGTTGTCATGTTACTACAGTAGGATTTACTTTTTTTCTATATGGCAGTGTTCTTTTGTCTATATGGCAGTGTTCTTTTGTCTATATGGCAGTGTTCTTTTGTTGGCGTGTTACTACAGTAGGATTTACTTTTTTTCTATATGGCAGTGTTCTTTTGTCTATATGGCAGTGTTCTTTTGTCTATATGGCAGTGTTCTTTTGTTGTCGTGTTACTACAGAAGGATTTACTTTTGTTTATATGGCAGTGTTCTTTTGTTGTCATGTTACTACAGTAGGATTTACTTTTGTCTATATGGCAGTGTTCTTTTGTCTATATGGCTGTGTTCTTTTGTCTATATGGCAGTGTCCTTTTGTTGTCGTGTTACTACAGTAGGATTTACTTTTGTCTATATGGCAGTGTTCTTTTGTTGTCATGTTACTACAGTAGGATTTACTTTTGTCTATATGGCAGTGTTCTTTTGTCTATATGGCAGTGTTCTTTTGTTGTCATGTTACTACATTAGGATTTACTTTTGTCTATATGGCAATGTTCTTTTGTCTATATGGCTGTGTTTATATGACAGTGTTCTTTTCATATTTCAAATCAACATCTTTTCTTTAGAACTTCTCAACATGTTTGCTTGATATTTACTCCATTCTATCATAACATCAAGTTCTACATTGTAGTTTATGAAGGTAGTCATCAGTAAAAGTCGAAGTGTCAAAGGTCACAATCTTATCCAACAATGCCTGGATAGAATTGGAAGCATTCATGTCTTACAGACTGTTTCATTTTTCGCTATAGAGTAAGCAGTTTTTACACTAGATGCTTTCTTGCTTCTGTTCTGTTTGTGTTTGATTGGTTGATTGGTTTATTTGCTTCAACGTATCGTGTAAATATCAGTGATGGGCACATGTGCCAATATTCTGTGTAATGATTATATTGTTCGGTGAAATTGATTTAAAAATATAGGTTACTTAAGAAATTAGCAACATCTACGTATTCTTATCACATATGAAATTGGCAGTTTAAGTTGTGATATATAGGTTACTCTTGTTTCTGATCTTTGATGTTATTCTATCCCTTTAGGCTCCCGCCCTCTGTGTTTATAACAACGCCATATTTAGTAAACAGGACTGGAAATATGTGAGGAGCATATACAATAGTGGTAAACGAGAAAACGCTCTAAAGGTGGGCAGATTCGGTCTGGGATTCAAGTCAGTGTTCCATCTCACTGGTAAGTTTATAAGTAATAATCAAAGTTTTCTTTATAAAATTTTGTAACCATCAGTTTGTACCAGATAATGTATTTTTAGCCCACCATTGTCAGATGATGGGCTATTCAAAACACCCTGCATCTTCCCTGCATTGTTTTCCCTAATTATCCCTAGTTGTGTCCATTTCATTTTGGAACTGATCAGGAAAAATGAAAAGGCTGAAAGCCATCTTGGATTTTGACGGTGAACATTTTTTTTAATTGCTATTTCTTGACAGGTACAGGATGGATTTTTCAAATTCCATGTGTAGGTTCCCTTAGATACCTAGTGATACCACTTTGATTTCGTAATTGCTATAAAAAACAAAATCACTGACAGGTGGCTAGCTTGGATTTTGATAATGAACATTGTTATTGTTATTTCTAGAAAAAAAAGAACTGTATGGATCTTTCTCAAATTTCATGTGCAGATTCCCCTTGTCCGTCTGTCCAATTTTTTGTTTCTGTACAGTATCCTAGATTCTTTTGGGCCAATGACACTCATACCTTATGCCAAGCCTCCTTGAAGGAAATGCTTGATTGGGCTATTAAGAGATCAGTGTCAAATTTATCACCACAACCCCTTATAATTTTCCACTTCGCTGCAAACACAGTCATATTTGCTGATATACATGTAAGTTAATTTATCCTTCTTACCTGAGTCAGGCCCCTCAACACTTTGTATAATATTTACTTAATTTTATAGCACCTACAGTGAAGTCTAGTAACTTGACTGCAGGGGCTAGGCTATAAGTTAGTCTCAGGCAACAGTTCAAGTTTGACTCTAATTTATCAAACTTTAAATTTGTATGAAAAGGTGTTAAAAAATTTTGAGTCTTTGTATATTTGTCAAACATTGTCTGGATTTAGTTCAATGGTTCTGTTAGACTCTCTCCAGCTCAGATACAAGTTATTTGTCATACATTCTTGAGTTTGAGTACTATTGATTTGTCAAACATCCTTGGAAAGGTTCAATATATTTGTCAAGCATTCTCTGGCATAGATCCAATACCGTATATATCACCTTATAAGGACACAGGGAGCGGGTAATTGAAGGCAAGGGTGCCCTTAATTAGGCTGAAAATTCGGAAGTTTTATGAAACGAACTATATATGATATTTACGACAGACAGCTTATAGTTCAACTGAGAGTAAGTAGAAATATGAAACAGATTATAGTGGAATCACAGCTAAACCATTTGATGTTATTTATAGACCAAGTATGGATAGAATATTGGCACGTGAAGGTGTTTTGACAGCCATTTATCCCAAAACGATGAAAAGTTACGTTGACGTAACCCAGGCTGTTCTTGATAATACAAGTGCAGATGTGCACAATGCACAATCAGGCCTGCTTTCAATGTCCACAGTGCAGTCGTAGTAATCCTCAGCATAGGCCTATTTATATATTTTGAATTAAAAGGTAGTTGTAGTATTTTTTTGTCATTTCTGAATGCAACTGAACACTCAGACAAGAGAATTTCCTGAAAAAAGGCATGCGCCCTAAAAACGTTATATAATGTATATTTATCAAACATTCTCAGGATTATGCTATACATAAATAAAACTCTCTTTGGCTTAGTTTCAATATATTTTAAGTTAGCTCTTTATTTGGAACTTTATTTTAGTATCACTTCTTGTCAAAAGTTGAATGCCTTGGTTAATGTCAGGGTGCTGAAATGTATTTTGATAACGGAATCATAACGCATGCAGAACATGTAATAGATTGTTTGAGATCATTTTTTTTCACCAGTAGCTTATATAGTTAACATTTTTATTAGTCCACCATCTGATCGCTTTGCGTCCATGATCCGTCATCTGCCTGTGAACAATTTTTGTTATCGCTATTTCTTGAAATATGTAGGTTCCTCTTGGTGTCTAGTTGTGCCTATGTAATTTTGGAAATGATCAGAAAAACAAAATGACCGAAAGGCAGCCAGCTTGGGTTTTGACTTTGAAAGTTTGTTATCGCTATTTCTTGAGAAGTAATTGATGGTTCTTTCTTATATTTCATATGTAGGTTTCCCCTGAAAAAACTGAATGGCTGAAAGACGAACATCTTAGATTTTGACTTTGAAAGTTTGTTATCACAATTTCTTGAGAACTGTTGTTTATAGATTTTTCTCAAATTCATGTAAAGGGTTCTTTAGGTAACTAGTTGTGCCTGTTTGAGTTTGGGACTGATCGGAAAAAACAAAATGGTCGACAGAAAGACATCTTTTGCCTAGTAAAGATTGTTATTGCTATTTCTGAAAAAGTGCTGAATGGAGATTACTCAAATTTCATACATATGTTCCCTTTGATCTCTCCTTGAGCTCGTTTGATTTTGGGACTGATTAGAAGAAACAAAATGGCTTCCAGGTGGCTATTTTGGATTTGGTAGGTAAAAGATTATCATTTATATCGGCAATGGAATGCCCAAATATCTCATCATTAAGAGCAAAAACAGAAAAGAAGAAAAAAGAAGGGGAAAGATCCAACTTTCAAAGAGCATATAAAGATCAAACAATGGTGGGTGCCTTGATCTTTCTTGGATCTCATTGTTTGTTATTTTGTTTTATTTCATATCATATGGTTGCCTTACTTCAAAGCAAAGATTTTAATTGTCTATCTGGAACTGCTTCAAATGTGTTACTAATTACTTATATATATCTTTTTTTACAGATAATCCAGTGATTATAAGTTGTGATAGAGCAATGATCATTGACCCATTCCGGACAAGAAAAGGATTTGGTAATGATTGCCAGGTTTTGACCTTCAAGAAACTGAGGAAATCTGTAAATCAGAAAAACCATTACAAGCAAGCACGCACAGCTATGGAGTCTGTGTATGGACATTTTGGATTTACACAGAGATCATTGGAGAACAATTACTTGGGTACTCTCTTTTGGTTTCCATTGCGCCAATGTCCCTCTGATCTATCAACAAAAATCCTTGACCTAAGTGATGTTTCAGAGCTGATAGCAGTATTCAAGAAAGAGGCTGCTTGTTTGCCACTTTTCCTGAAGAACATCTCCCATGTTTCTTTTTCTGACCAGGATAAAAAGTTGACTTCCTTTTCAGTGGACTGTGATGTGATGGAAAAAGAGAAAAAGAAACATTTTAACAACGAATTGAACAGATGCAAAGGAGTGAGTCCTAGTGACAACATGAAGGCAATATTCCGAGTCAACATTACTGTAAAGGATGATCAAACTTTGAACGAGCAATGCTGGGTTGTTTGTAATTTTATAAAAGGACGCAATAATCTTTCCACAGAACTAAGAGTATTAGCGGAGGATAAGCAATTGTCTTACAGTCCTTTTGTAGGGCTTGCGGTACCCTTTGACAACACAACAAACATGAAATTTCATGGACAGGTGTTTTGTTTTTTGCCGCTTCCCAATACACATGAAAATTGTACAGGCTTACCCCTACATGTAAATGGATTTTTTGCCCTTAGTGAGGACAGACATCATGTTAAATGGCCAATGGATGACCAGACCGAACGAGTTGACAAAGCCCAAAAATGGAACCAATTGCTATGTGAAGAAGTACTTGCTGAAGCGTACGCTGATACAGTAGAGTATGTAAAGTGCATCCCTAAAGAACAGCAATACATTACCAATATTGTTTATAGGATACTGCCTTCAAAATTAAATGTACAACAGAATTGGGATGTTTTGTTGAATCCCTTGTACATACATCTTAAGGACAGCGCCATCTTTCATACTGATAATAAAGGAGGTAAGTGGATCACAGCAAAAGATGCCATTTTTTCTATCTTACAATGGCGGGGAGATGGACTCGAGTCAAGCACATTAGAACAGACAGAACAGTGTGTATTTGATCTTTTACTGAAGTATAAATGTAATGTAGTGAGGCTTCCTTCTCATGTAGCAGAAAGGTTCCCCGACGTACCACGAATCACACCACCGTACATGAGGAAAGTGATTAGAGAAGGACAGATCTACTGTACACTTTCCATTCAACAAAAACTTCTCTTGTTGCAGTTTATTCTATCAGATAGGCTATACAGCGATCTCACTGACCTTCAATTACTTCCCCTCGAGGACAATACGTTTACAACTTTTGACAAGGGAAATCCTGTATACCTCTGTACGTTACATGAAATGAAGATGTTCCCTGGCACTGAAAAGAACTTCATCAAATTAGATTTACCAAAACAAATAGGTGATCATCTGAGGGAAATTCTGAAGTCGGGTAAGTATTACTTCTATCTATTTCATCAAATCAAATAAACCAAATTTTACCTAATTTTGGGGCTTGGCATTTTTGTTCTGTTTTGTTGATGAAGCACAACATCAGCACCCTTCATGAATATTTTTTCTTTTGTCCATAAAAAATCCTTATTGTCACTATTTCTTGAGAAGAACTAGATAGATATTTCTCAAATTTCATGTTTAGGCTCCCCCTCATGTTTCGTCTGTCTTCGTGCGCCATCCGCTGTATGTAAACTTTCCATTCAAGCGACTTCTACATAATAACCAAAAGCCAAAGGTGCTGACATTGGGCCTGTAGCATGCTGAAATGCAGGAAAACAGAGTTTGTTAATATGAACGACCATGACCCAATTTCAAGGTCACAGGTATCAAATCTATCAAAATATTCAACAACTTTGTCTCAATAACCAAAATGCGCAAAGTGCTGATATTGGGCCTGTAGCATGATGGGATGAAGGACAACCAAATTAGCATACATGAATGACCATGGTCAATTTAGGTAATTTTAGCATCAAACTTATTTTTTTGGTGAGAATATCCCATCTGGAATAGCCCTACAATAATATTTTTCACATCCATTGAAAGTTCCTTGCCTTTTCATCCAATCTTGGCTTCATTGTACTTTTGGGAGAAACTATAAAGCAGATAACAACAAAATATTACATCACATCACATCACGTGAATAAGAAAGCTTAGTATAGCATGCATTATCATCAGTGACAAAGAAAATGACGGCCCAGACCTTTTAGCATACAGCTGTGACAAAGAATAAAAACATGCTGCCATTGTGACTGGCACGTCACTGTAATGGAGGCTGATCAGGAAAGCAAATGGCCGACAAGTTGACAGTTGAGGTAAAAACTGTCCTTTTTAATTATGAAAACAATAACCAAGGATAAAGTTTCAAAAATGCTGAATTTCAGAAATTTGTTAAGAAGTGTTTACAAGATGGTATGGAATTAACCAATTTTTTTGACTATACTATAATCCTATGTTATCGTATTTTCAGGACTTATAATTCACCACAACTTGCTATTTATCAACTGTACAATTATGCGCAATGTATTATGGTAAAGTAAAGCCATTTGGTAAATTGATTCATAGTTCACTTAATTAACCATTATGGTGAGAAAACTTCCATCGCATGATAGTGATTTGCAGTTCAAGTCACCATTATGGTGAGTAACCCACGGCCTATGGAAAAGTGTCTGTCAATTCATTTTACCATTAAGGTAAGCAGCCCCTCAGGGCTAGAAAAAATATTTTCAGCTACTCGTCTGTCGGGAAAGTGAAACTTGAAATTTACTTGTTTTACAATTTTAGTAACAATTTCTAAATCCAATTTTTGAACTCAACACTTGCTTTTATTGTTTTACTCATGGATTTACTTAAATCCAGTAAGCTTATGATATGTGAACTTCCAGTCTGTCGCATATTTAACTTGTTACAATGTTATTTTCACTACAAACTGTCAATAGACATTCGTTACTTTTCAATCAATACTCTGGTGGATCAATCAGGGTTTCAACACCTGGGCCGATTAATTAGTTCTGTCATCACTTGAAGGACCTAGAACTTCATCAATATCAATGGGATCTTTAGAGCTTCCCACTACACTAACAACTAGTTCATCTACTCTTTTGATGACACTCTCGTTCTCTTGGTGGCACACAACATGTCTAGTTGTTTTAGTAGTGCTGAGCCATTTATCAATGCATGGATCTGGGTTGAAATCTTTCACTGACTGATCCATGTTTGTTACTGTCATTAAGTCAATGAGATGATCCTGTGAGAGCTGTGATCTCAGTCTGGATTTTATGTTCTTCATACCAGAAAAACTTCTTTCACATTTGGCAGTGGAAGGTGACAAGGTAAACATGATATAACAAGAAGAAGCACATTAGTGATTTCACTAGGATGAAATTCAAGGAGTCCAGAATACACTTCTACAGGCCTGCATGACTTCATTTTTGAGACTTTCAATTTCAAACCCATCCACTCCCCTGGGATCTTAATTCTCTCCTCTGTCAGACAGAATAAGAAATACTCCACTGAGTCCTGAATTTCTGAGTCACCCAAAGTAAACAGGAGATTCCTGTTGTTAGGCCAAGCTCTGAAGTCAAACACTGACAAATAATTAAGAGGAGGTTCACCTAAGCATTTGAATCTTTCCCTTATGTAATCAATACATTTATTCAAAAACTCAGAAAATGTTGCCTTAAAGTTCATTGGGCTCTTAGTGAGTGAAATTTCTTGTCTACTTGCTGACCCAGTTGTGAAGACAATACCTTTCCTCATCAAAGTTTGATGTGAATTTAGAGTAAAATTTACCAGAAGATCTCTTCATCACTTCAAATTTTGTCAACTGCACTTTCAGTTTTTCACTCACATGACTGACAAGAAGATCCTCAGCCTGAAACTGGACACTCACATCTGAGAGCACCTCAGTCACACTCAGCATGAAGTACAAGAACCTAAGAAATTCTTTTCTGACTCCCCTCACCTTGGCAGCATCATCTACTTTACCCTGCCCTGCATGTTCCATATGAAGTGACATACTTGCCAAAGATTTCTCAATAGCCAAAAAAACCCTGAACCTACTTGCTACCCATCTTGTCTTTTGTAAGCCTGCTTGCAATATGGTTGCTTCATCTAAAATGTCTGAGATTTCTTTCAACTGGCACCTGCACTTGGGGTAGTAATAATAGAACTTAAAAATTTGTTGAACAGTGTCTTGAAATTGTGAGATATACTTCACTGTTTTTGTAGCATCCAATACTCCAAGCTCTAAGTTGGGGGCCACACAATGAATAGCTACAAGGGGATGATCAACAAATTCTTTAAGTTTCACTACAACTCCTCCTTTTCTACCTAACATCACAGATGCCCCATCAACATTACAACCAATCAACTTCTCTTTCAATTCCTCTTCAGTCATTCCAAGGGTATCAAGTGCTGTCAAAATACCATTGAACGCACCTTCAGCTGTAGCAGATTTCAGAGACACTATGTCAATGAAAGCTGTCTCAGGATTACGTTTCTCATTAACAAATCTCAAAAATACTGTCTCTTGTTCAGTCACTGAGGAGTCTATGGAACCATCAGCCAAAACTGATAAAAACCTAGCATTTCTAACTTTCTCTTTCACTACATCTTTCTCTACTGCAGCAATAGCAGACACGAAATCTTTGGCACCTTTATCATATCTATACCAACTCCTACCTTTTCTAGTAAGTCAGTCAACCCACTAAATTTTGTGAATGATAAATTTTCTTTCGCTAAATAAAACGATGTATTTAACCAACTATGCAATCTGTTTCTTGATGTCTGGTCCAGTTTTTTTGTCAGTTTTGAAAATAATGTCGGTAAGGGGGCAGAACTTTCCATATCTTTCTCTTTGTCCAATATGAAACGGTCTTCACAAAATTTATGTCTGTCAGATTTTTTTGTGATAATCAAGTGTATCCTCCCTAAACTTACCACCAGACCCGGTCTCTATGAACAATTTTGAAGTTTTGTCAGCAAGGTTTGGATATTTCCTACACTAGCTACAAAACATGACATCGTTTTCAGCATCATGAACAACCCAAGGATAAGTTTATGCCCATGAAGCCTGAAATTACCTATTACCCTTTTTTTTGTACTCAGCTTTCCGTTTTTTACTTAGATTTGTTTCAAAACTACTTGAATCTGATTGAGTTGTGTATGCCTTGTCACCTTTCGCTGATTTTGGCGAAAAAAAAAACACTCTTCAAGTTGGCCTGTTTTGATATATTGAATTCACTGTTAACGCGAGCGAGAATGTCAACTTTTTGACAGTAACTACGTACACAAAACAACCTTGTTTACAACATTTGTGGTGACTTAGTAGGTTTTTTTCTTAGTCTGGATCAGCCCAAGTCTTGACACGTGGTATAAGAAAGGATACTACATCGATGTATTTGATCGACTATCAGTGGATTTAAATTAGTTTTAAGAGTGTTTAAGTTGATAAACATCATTTATTATAGAAAATTCAATCGTAAGAACAACAAATTTCACTTGCCCACCCGACAAGTAGCTTTAACAAATCATTTGCCCCCAAGTAGCTTTGACTCGTCTAGACGAGCTGACAAGTGGATTTTTCTAACCCTGCCCCTGCCTTGTAGTAAATTCATTTGGATTCACTTTTACCATTTTGGTTAATAACCTCTCCTGGTCTTTGGTAAATTGATTTGTGTTCACTTTACCAGTTTGGTTAATAACCCCCTCCCACCCTGTGGTAAATTGATTTGGGATCATTTTACTATTATTGTTAAAAACCCCTCCTGGCCCATGGTAAATTGATTTGCAATTCACTTTTCCATTATGGTTGGTAACCCCTCCTGGCCTGTGGTAAATTGATTTGGGTTTACTTTCTGTTATGGTTAATAACCCCTCCTGGTCCGTGGTAAATTGATTTGGGTTCACTTTTCCATTATGGTTGGTAACCCCTCCTGGCCTGTGGTAAATTGATTTGGGTTTACTTTCTGTTATGGTTATTAGCCACTTCTGGTCCGTGGTAAATTGATTTGGGTTCACTTTTCCAGTATGGTTAATAACCCCTCCTGGCCCATGGTAAATTCATTTTGTTTCACTTTATCATTATGGTTGATAACCCCATCTCTCCCTTGGTAAATTGATTTGCAGTTCACTTGACCATTTTGGTTAATAACCCTCTCCTGCCTTGTGGTAAATTGATTTGCAGTTCACCTACCATTTTGGTTAATAACCCTTCCTGGCCCGTGGTTAATTGATTTGGGTTCACTTTACCATTTTGGTTAATAACCCTCTCCCGCCCCGTGGTAAATTGATTTGCTGTTCTCTTACCATGTTGGTTAATAACCCTACCTTGCCCGTGGTAAATTGATTTGGTTTCACTTTTCCAGTATGGTTAGTAACCCCTCCTGGCCCGTGGTAAATTGATTTGGGTTCACTACGATTTTGGTTAATAACCCCATTCCTCCCTTGGTAAATGGATTTGTTTTCACTTACTGTTACAGTTAATAACCCCTCCTGGTCTGTGATAAATTGATTAAGGTTCACTTTACCATTTTGGTAAATAACCCTCTCCTGCCCTGTGGTAAATTGATTTGCAGTTCTTTTACCATTTTGGTTAATAACCCTCTCCCGCCTTGTGGTAAATTGATTTGGGTTCACTTTTCCAGTATGGTTAATAACCCCCTCCGAGCCTATGGTGAATTGATTTGGGTTCACTTGGCCATTTTGGTTAATAATCCTCTCCCATCCCAGGATCAATGGATTTGCAGTTCACTTGACCATTTTGGTTAATAACCCTCTCCCGCCCCGTGGTAAATTGATTTGGGTTCACTTTACTATTTTGGTTAATAATCCTCTCCCAGCCCATGGTAAATTGATTTGCAGTTCACTTGACCATTTTGATTAATAACCCTCTCCCGCCCCGTGGTAAATTGATTTTCGGTTCACTTTTCCAGTATGGTTATTAACCCTTCCTGACCCATGGTAAATTGATTTGGTTTCACTTGACCATTTTGGTTAAAAATCCTCTCCCAGCCCATGATAATTTGATTTGCAGTTCACTTGACCATTTTGGTTAATAACCCTCTCCCGCCCCGTGGTAAATTGATTTGGGTTCACTTTACTATTTTGGTTAATAACCCTCTCCCGCCCCGTGGTAAATTGATTTTCGGTTCACTTTTCCAGTATGGTTAGTAACCCCTACTGGCCCATGGTAAATTGATTTGGTTTCACTTTACCATTTTGGTTAATAATCCTCTCCCAGCCCACGATCAATTGATTTGCAGTTCACTTGACCATTTTGGTTAATAACCCTCTCCCGCCCTGTGGTAAATTGATTTGGGTTCACTTTACCATTATGGGTAATAATCCTCCCCCAGCCCATGGTAAATTGATTTGCAGTTCACTTTACCATTATGGTTAGTAACCCCTCCTGGCCCGTGGTAAATTGATTTGGGTTCACTTTACGATTTTGGTTGATAACCCGATCCCCTCCCTTGGTAAATTGATTTGGGTTCACTTTACCATTATGGTTAATAACCCCTCCCAGCCCGTGGTAAATTGATTTGTGTTCACTTACTGTTATGGTTAATAACCCCTCCTGGTCTGTGGTAAATTGATTAAGGTTCACTTTACCATTTTGGTAAATAACCCTCTCCTGCCCTGTGGTAAATTGATTTGCAGTTCTCTTACCATTTTGGTTAATAACCCTACCTTGCCCGTGGTAAATTGATTTGGGTTCACTTTTCCATTATGGTTAGTAACCCCTCCTGGCCCCTGGTAAATTGATTTTACAATTTTGGTTAATAACCCCATTCCTCCATTGGTAAATTGATTTGGGTTCACTTTACCATTATGGTTAGTAACCCCTCCCAGCCCGTGGTAAATAGATTTGTGTTCACTTACTGTTACAGTTAATAACCCTCTCCTGCCCTGTGGTAAATTGATTTGCAGTTCACTTGACCATTTTGGTTAATAACCCTCTCCTGATCGTGGTAAACTGATTTGGGTTCACTTAACCATTATAGTTAGTAACCCTCTCTGGCCTGTTGTAAATTGAATGGATTCAGGTTAGAGCTGGCACTTCACTTCATTATTGTGGTAAAGTGAAGCATTTCCCTATTTTCTCACTAATTAACTTTTAACCTGATTTTATTTTATCGCACCATTCATATCCTTGGTTGGTTCGTCTGTCTGTCTGCCCTCAGGAAACAGGATTTATTATCACTATTTCTTGAGAAGTAATATATTTCCCTTGATCTTTATTTGTGCATGTTTGATATTAGGTCCTATCAGAAATATGAAATGGCTGAAAGATGGTCATCTTGGATTTTTACATTCAAACTTGTAATCGCTATTTCTTGTGAAGTAATGAACAGATACCTCTCAAGTTTCATATGCAGGTTTCCCTTAGTCCCTAGTTGCACCCGTTTGATTTTGGGTCTGAGTAAAAGCAAAACGGCTAACATTCAGCCATCTTGGATTTCACCGAGTTAAGGTTGTTATCACTCTTACGTGAGAAGTACTGGAGGGATCTCTCTTAAATATCTTTCATAGGTTACCTAGGATATTCTTGATAAGATCAGTATGCCAGCCATAAAACTTCTCCATAATTTACATCAACCTGCATCTTTTCATATCTGAGATTAAGAGATATATTCCCTTTGATACAAAAAAATCCTTATAATTGTAAATTTTATAATTGAGTTATTTGGTTTTATCTTTAAGATCTTTTCAACCTGAGGTCTCTGAATAAAGAAGACTTTCCTAATTTACTCATAGACACCTTGACTGCAAATGGCAAGGTTGAAACCAGTGGATGTTTTAGACCTACTTCACACAACATAACAATGGAATGGCTTGACTGCGTCTGGGAATACATTGGCCGGGAATATGATACATCAGACAGATTGGAAAGATTGCATGTAGTTCCTGTGTTGAAAGATTCTGGATCAGATCATACTTTGTTAGAACTAATGCCACTGAAAGGACATTATGTGGTGTCTAATTGTGAAGGGATGGCTCCCCTTGATCAGAACCTGCAGAGTGCTTTAGGAAAGCTGCCAATTACTGTTTTAGAATTTATTACAAAAGGTGAAACACGTACTCAGTTGATAGGTATCTATTGCAAATATCCTAATTTGGAAGGTCTGCTAGAACTTTTAGAAGATATTTACGAAGACAGTAAAGAAAATGAAATATCGCTTGAGGTAATAATGCGGCCATTCAATGATCAATCCAACCCAAAGGAAAAGGAAGCATTGCTGAATTTCCTTTCACATGGTTGTCTTAGTTGTGGAGCATGTAATGTTATAAGAGAATTACTAATTTTCCCGGAAACAACTAATGAGAGCATTATTTCGGAATATACATCCATAGCAAAGAACAAGCGAATCGCATGTGAAAATACCATTCCGGTTAAATATCCTTCGCCACTTTTACATTTGGATAACAAACAAAAGATACTTGCTAAAGGACTCGGAGCAATGGAAGTGTCAGAGACAGAACTGGTTGAAAATATCCTACAAGTCATGACAGACACAACTGTCTTGTATGATAGACCAGACATTGAACAGTTCATGATGTATGTTATGAATTTCTGTAGCAGGTTCTCATCAAGAAATGATTTGAATCTAATTGTCAAATTAGGTTCAAGGATCAAATTTGTTGAACTTTCGCCTGCATCAAATGAAACAGACCTTGCATTTATCAGAGACTTCTATGATCACACGAATCCAAGTCTTCAGAAGTTGTTTCATTTTGACCAAAGCAAGTTTCTCCCTGAAAAATATCGAAAGGAAGGACTGGAGTCTGTCCTTAGAAGATTTGGTCTCAAAACAGATACAGCCGTTAAAGATGTCATTTCTGTGGTCAAAATACTAGATCGCGAGTGCCAAAGAGCGAATTTGACAAATGCTGAGCAAATCAGACATTGTTCACTACAGGTGATGGAAATACTGGACAACATGGATTCTAATATTCCTTTGGATAATTTGGATTTGAATAGATATCAATGGATAACCTTTATAGACAAGAAACCACTATATTATCCAGATGTTCTGCCTTGGTATGGGGATAAATGCGAGTCACTTTTATGCGCTCCACATGATGCATGCTCGAGTAAATACGCGCCTCTCGGGGCATCTGTCAAATGTGTTGTAGAAGCGTCTTCCTATCCCCACTTGTCAGAGAGATATGGATGGAACCACCCTCCAAACATCGAAGTATGCTTTGGTCAGCTAGAAAAATTAAGGGACGTCTTTTGCATAAAACACAAGGCCAAATTAAGCGGTATAATTAAAGACATATACCAACAACTGTCTCTTGAAATCAATAAACTGCAGGATGAAAATCTTAAGTTCAATGCGTTTGTCTGTACAGGTAATGGCTTTCATACAGCTGGAGATGTATTTATATCTTTTCCAATGGATGAGAACATACACTTGGAACCTTACATGTACAAACTTCCTGAAGAATTTTTGGAATTCTCTGAATTGTTCGTGAAACTCGGATCAACAAAGGAGCACAATTTACAATCACTTAAAACCATTCTAACAACAATCAAAACAAACACTACAGTATCAACTAGTGCCACAGATAGACAGATTGCTGTAAATATCTTGAAAATGATAGTGATGCTGAAAGACGACATCGACAACTTGGATGAAGTGCTGGTGCCCATTCAATCAGAGAATGATGACTTAGAATTGTGTCTCGTAAAAGAATGTACTTTCCCTGATAGCGATTCAAGTTGGTTACTGGATGAAGAAGAGGATAATGACATCAGATATGTTCATTCTGATGTCTCAGGTGACTTAGCACAATCACTTGGCGTCCAGTCTTTTACTCAAAGATTTCTGTCGGACGGCGGTACCGATCCACTGATATCAGAATGTGGGCAGTCAGAACCCCTGACCACAAGGCTTCAACATCTGTTGAAAGATTACCCAGATGGATTGGCTGTGTTGAAGGAACTTGTGCAAAATGCAGATGATGCTGGAGCACAACATATCTATTTTCTGTATGACGAACGACAGAATGAAAATGCTACAACTGGCTTAATAGACCAGAAGATGGCAAAATGTCAGGGTCCAGCATTTTGGGCTTTCAATGATGCAAAATTCACTGATAATGACTTTGAAAATATTGTCAAACTTGGCGGGGAGACAAAAAAGGAGTCGAAAACAAAAATTGGAAAATTTGGACTTGGATTCAACGCTGTATACAATCTGACTGATGTTCCAAGTTTTGTGAGTGGGCATTCCCTTGTTATCTTTGATCCAAACGCTACTCATCTTGGAAAAGCTATCAAGAACAAAAACAGTCCAGGGATACGCTTGAATTTTACAAAGAAAAGTTCCGGGATGCTGAAGCGGATGAAAAACCAGTTTCTGCCGTACAACAAAATATTTCAATGTGATTTATCAGGAGGCACAATGCCTCCATATTTTGACGGCACACTTTTTCGGTTTCCTTTAAGAACAAGGCAACAAGCAGTAGACAGTGCAATAACAAGCAAACCATATTGCAAAGATCGCATGTTAAAACTTCTTCATCATTTTCAAGACTATGCAGGCGCTTTGTTGACATTCACACAAAATTTGAAGGAAATAAAACTATTTCATCTTCGGGATGGCAGCCTAAATCCAGCTTGTGATATGCAACCAGTTTTCAGCACAAAAAGGGCAGTAATTGGAGCTTACCCAATTTTCAACAACCCAGCAGACATTAATGTCATGACAAGGACGGCAAATGCTTGTAAAAACAGTGAGTCATTCGCTTACATTGAAATGATATCAGTTGAAATTTGTACATCTGAAAATGAACTGCTTGACGTCAGAAAAGGAAGTTCAAAAACTTCGTCTTGGTTAGTGTCATGGGCATCAGGAACTACTCTGGCTATTCTTCAACAAATGGTCAATTTGGAAAAGGATGGTGCCCTTCCCCTTGGCAGTATTGCCATTTCCTTAAAAAGTATCCAATCGCAACTTACCTCGGTGCCTTTCCCACAAGAAGAAAAAATGCTTGGATTCCATGACAAGAGTCATTTCTTCTGTTTCCTTCCTCTACCCATCGAATGTAAAACTCCTTTTCATATAAATGGCTGTTTTGCTGTTAGCAGTGACAGGAAAGGCTTGGTCAAGAGCACAAGTGACGAAAATGTTGAAACAGAGAAACAGCTTTGGAATAGAATGCTCATGTCTGATGCTGTGTGCAATGCAAACATCTTTTTGTTAAAAAGTCTGGAACATTTCAATGTGGCATTAAATAGAGTCTATTCAACACTATGGCCTACCAACGTAGATTCTTTAGATGAATCCTCATATTTAGCAGATGCATTTTGTAAAGCTGTTGTAAATGAAGGTCACCGGGTATTTTATACGCTAGAAGGACGCTGGGCATCATTTCGTGAGTCCATTTTTCTTGACAATACTTTACGTCATGACAATATTGTTGGGGATTTTGCTTTCCAAACATTTGAAAAATTGTTTGATGGAGAAAACATTCCTATGGACATGCCTGCATCGTTACATCACCGATTTATCACTGCAGGATGTGGAGAGGAATTAACAAAACAAACGATGACCATGTATTCATTTTACAAGGACATTGTTTTCACGGGAATTCATCGAATAGACGAAGAAGTGCGGGATGCCCTGATTATGCATATACTGGTCACCAATGACAATCAATTGCAAAGTCTCTTGATGTCTTATCCATGCATTCCAGTCCTACCAGATGGAGAACTGAGGCTACCTAGGGATTTAGTAAGACCAAGACCACAATCAGTTTTATCAGAACTTTTCTCTGAAGATGATGGACGGTTCCCTTACGACAGAAACAAACCTTTTTGTAGCGAAATAAACCTTGATGCTCTTGTACGATTGGGTATGATGGATAGGAAGTTGCCTGATGAGCTTGTTGTGGAAAGAGCTGAGTCTGTATCCCAGCTTGATGACCAAGAACAGGCGATTCGTCGTTGCCGTAAATTATTGGAATACATTGATGGAGAGAAAGATCAGTGTAAAAGACTTCTCAATTATTTGAGTAAGACAGCATTTATACCCTGTCTTCCTAAGCCTAAAAATTGGCCTCTTAGTTGGTGTTCAAACAGAAATCCAAAAAGGAGTTTTTCTTCGCCCAACCAGTTGTTCTTTCCAGAACTCATTGAGCGTATTGCATGTTCACAATTGATAGTTGATATCAATCATCTGAAAGGCAATTTTGATGTACAGTTGATTCTCAAATTACTTGGAGTGAGAAAAGAAGAGCTGCATAAAGATGTTGAGGCACAACTTTATGCCATCAGTCAAGTCCACGCTCCCTTATCGGACAAGCAGAAAGCAAGATTGCATGAGATATGCATATCTGTCTATGATTATTTTGACAGATCACCAGAAAAACTTGCTGATACATATAATGACCTTCCTATTATATGGGTATATGATCGATTGGTTCCTCCTTCTCGAGCCACTACAGAGAAATTTCCAAGAATTGATAGTAAACCTGAAATTTACCAGATTGATTCAGCTGACGTTACATGTTACAAAACCTTTCTCTTGTACGTTGGAGTTCAAGAGAAACTTTGCAAGGAAAATGTTATTCAAGCACTTGAAAGGGTAAACAAAGAAGATGGTAAACATGTAGAGCCAGAAAATGTTCATCTGATAGTTAGTCTGTTGGATCTTTTAGCAGCAGTGTGTATTCGACGTGGTTCGACATTAAATCCTGATGACAAGTCTCGTATTTATATTCCGGATGATAAAAATATTCTTCGACTAGCAGGAGAATTATGTGTAGATGATGAATACCCCTTACAAAGACAAAAATATATGTATTTTATTAACGCAAAAGTGTCCGGAGAAATTGTCAAGTTACTGGGAGTAAAATCAAAACGGCTGAAGCACCTAAATGCAATTAAAGGCAGCATGCCATTCGGACAAAAGGAGGAACTGGTGACTCGTCTAAAGGGAATATTAGAAGGATATCCTCGGGATGAAACAATTCTGTATGAATTGTTACAAAATGCAGACGATGCAGGCGCTAGAGAAATCCTATTCATCAAAGACATGCGACAACATGATACGAAGAAAGGAATATTTGGTGAGAGTTGGGCTGATATCCAAGGTCCGGCATTATGTGTATTCAATGACTCTTGCTTTACTGCCGAGGATCTTAGAGGTATTTGCAAATTGGGTCAAGGGTCGAAGTCAAATGACCCTACTAAGACCGGACAATTTGGTGTTGGTTTCAATGCAGTTTATCATTTAACAGACGTGCCTTCATTCATAACAAGAGGTCCTTCGACACCTAACTCAGGAACTTTTTGTGCCTTTGACCCAAACTGTACTTTTTGCCCTACTGCGAATGAACTAGATCCAGGATTACAGGTCCCTGACTTAAAAGAACTTGAGGAGACGTATCCAGGTGTATATAGTTGTTATTTACAGAAAGAGTTACCACAAAGACAGGGTACATGGTTCAGACTCCCATTGCGAACTCCAAAGATGTCAAAAGTATCACGTATTTGCAAAACTGTAATTGATCATTCTAAACTGGATGAATTGTTATGCCAATTTCAACAGAATATGAAGAAATGCCTTTTATTTTTGAGAAGTGTCAGACATATTTCATTATGTGAAATAGATGGACAAGGAAACATTACAATCAATCACAATGCAGAGTCAACGTTGGAAAAAAACCGAGAACATGATTTAAGTAAGTTCTGCAATGCTTGTGACATACTTACGAAAGATATATTTGCCAGATCAAGTCTACAAGACACACAAAAACGCACAATTCAGTACTCCGTGACCATACAGGAAAATCAGCAAAAACCTGAACGTTGGATTATTGCACAAACATTTGGATTAGAATCAGATACACAGGTACCAGACAGTGTTCAGGAAGAATTTAAAAGTAAGAACATTAATCTCGCTCCCAAAGGTGCAGTAGCTCTGCCATGCACATTGGGCAGTAATAAACGTGTAGCACAAAATTTGATTTCCAACTGTGCCATGGTTCCATCGTCCATTGTACTTGCTGAACCCCCTATACATACATCATCTATCCAGGATTGCATTGCATCATCATCATCAGAAGAAACATACTCCCTGAGTGACGACAGGAATAATAATGGCCAGATATTCTGTTTTTTGCCTTTACCTTTGTCAAGTGGACTTCCTGTACACATAAACGGTCATTTTGCTCTACATCAAACGCGTGGAGCAATGTTTGAAAAGAAAACTTGGAAAGGTGACTGGAACAGTTTGTTGTTTGAAGCGATTATCTCGCACAGCTATGTCTTAGCTATCGAGTACATGCGCGATACATTATTTTTGGATTCTGAAGGACAAACTGCTGACATCAAATCTATCCTGAAGACATATCACGATGCATTTCCACAATATAATCAAGGAAAAACTGATTTGATAAAGAACATGATTTCGTCATTTTTCTCTTTGCTGTATAAAAGAGAGTCTACTGTTTTCCCAGTGCTATCGCCAGTTAAAAAGCCAATATGGTGGGTTGGTCTTCGGGAGACCAATCATGCATTTCCTGCTTTCTTCGACAATTTAAGATGTCAATTACGAGATGATGCACAAACCACAATCAAGAATCAGAGAAAGGTTTTTGTACATTTTGAGAAGAAAAAGGAAGAAGAAATGATACGGCAAGCTGAAGATGAGGCATACCAACTATCACACACTTTGAAAGATATTGGCATGAAAATACTTGAATCACCGTTTTGGATCTACCAGAGTATGTTGAATGCTCTAGAGTGTCTAGAAAAGATGCGTATTACCCATGATAGGTGCGAAAATCGATTCATGAGAAACGGACACCTAATTAATCCAAGTATTATTCTTGGCATTTTAAGAAAGACTGTTGACATGTCACCAGATGCTTGTTTTCTAAAAGATGTAAATCGCAACATAGCAGACACCTCAATTAAGAGTATGTCAAACATTATCTGCCTTCTACGATACCTTCTCAAAGATGTACATGCATTCGTCGATAACATGCAGAATTTACCTTTACTGGTTACAAATGATGGCATGCTGAGACGTTTTACCTCAACAAGAAGTGTATTTTTATCTGAATTTTGTGATCTATTGCCAACATCATCAGAAAAGTTTGTGCATATTGATATTACTGACTTGCTACTGTGCATCGGGGAAAGGGGTAAGTTTTTAAGAAAACTGGACCTTGCAAGTTTTTTCAGAATGTTACCTGACTATGTCAACAAGGCTTCGTTGTCACAACCTGCACCAATAACATGGCATCATGATAAGATAAATGTGAGATGGATTCAGAGATTCTGGACATATGTAGATAGTTTAAATCCAAATCCGAAAGATATTAAGACTCTAGAAAATTGGTGTCTTGTTCCAGGAGAGTTGAAAAATGCCCAAAACGGAGATCAGAAAACTGAGATTTTAGTTCCATGTAACAAAAGTTATCTTCTCTTGAATTTCTCTTCATTTGAAAATGAGCTCAGGAAAATTCTTCAGTTGTTAGAAATACCAACACCACATTCCAGTATTAGCTCAAGAACATTGCGGAATCTTGTGACCTCAAAACAACATCCAGTGCATTTCATTCAGTGTCTTCACCATTATAAGGATCAGGTAAGACGTCTCTCCACAGGTCAGTGTAACATTTTGTTACAATACTTGTTGGAAAATGTTACAAGTCTTAATGAACCTTGGATACTTTGCCAACTGAAAAAGATTCCTTTGTTCACTACTCTGAGTGGAGAGAGTGTCGACCTTCCAGACCATCGGCAAATTTACGTTGTTGAAATGTCACACACACTTCCGACAGGAGGACTCAGAATTTGGTCTGAAAAACGAGGTATAACGCTGTTGGGATACACATTTTTCTTAAAGGAATTGATGTCAAGGTTGGGCCATGACAATATATCTATAACTGACTTGTACTCTAAACTTATTCTGCCAGGTTTCCGAGATCTCAATCAAAAACATCATTTGCTCCATTTGCAATATGTTCGAAGCATTCTGAAAGTTTCTGACAGCTGTTCCTTAAAAGGAGCGTTGCTGACATCAGCATTTATTTTCCACGAAGGAGTGTTCAAATTGGCTCGTGACTTCTATAGCCCTCACATACAAATCCTAAAGAAATTTTGCAATAAGTTATTGCTTCCACCTGATCCATTTGATAAACAAGAGTGGAAAATGTTTATGGAATTTGCTGGTATGAAGAAAATAGTGACTGCTGATTTATACTACGAATTCGCTACACAAATAGAGAAAAAGGGGCTCACTTTAGGGATGACTGAAGAAATCAAAGCCCAATCTAAACAGCTGGTCAAGTTTTTATTTGATACACATGAACTTTCAAGCGACAAAGATCTTTTAGAACGAATAAAGAATATCAAGTTTGTCGTACCCTATTGCGTCGAACAAGAGTATAGTGAAATCTATCCTCAGTTTAGATATGAACAGTTGATATCATTTTGTGGATCTATTCCAAGCTATCTTTTCCATGTCGTGTGGACAACTAAATGTATCCTGCCAGATTTTGCTGTCGATAAGTATCCATTCTCGGCAGCCTTGGGAATACAGTTGACTCCACCAGTGAAAGATGTTCTATCTCATACCCACAATGTGTGCTATGAACTCAATAAACGTTTACGTGAACAAAAAAGAAACGGAAACCGCAGCCTTTCTGAAAAGAACATTAAAAATTTGATGGAGAAAATATATGCATATTTAGAAACAATAGATGTAGATAAATCAGAATATAAAGAAATGCTTTCAGTAACGCCTCTTGTACACCTGGTGGATTTAGGGATATTTGTTACCGCAGAGCAAGTATCTATCTCATTTGGTAGAAACAAACAGATACCGCCATATCTGGTGGAAATACCTTTGTATTACGGACGTTACAAGGAACTATTTCTAAGTGTTGGAGCAACAGAAACTGTTACAATTGCCCAGTACTCGGATGTACTCTATAGCATAAAGAATGAAGTGCAATCAGCAGTCCTAGGACCGCAGCAGATGCAACTTGTCTTTTCTGCATTGACTGAATTGATGGCACTATTAGAGGAGACAAGTATGGCAATTATTAAGGAGTCCATGACTACGGTGGAAACACTGTTTTTACCTTGCTTGGAGAAAACCTTAGCTCCTTCTACTGATTTGGTGTTTGTTGACAAACAAAAACTTAAAACTAGAGTAACCCTTGGAACTGATATTCAGCTCAATTTCATGCACAAATTAAGGGACTGTAATGAAAATGAAGAACTTATCTTGAAGCTACCGGACAGGTTAAAGCCAAAAGTCTTAAGCTCAATCGTACAGGAACGTCTCATATCCCGTTCTCAACATGAACCAGATGAAAAAGTAGATTTGTTGCGACGCTTCGTAGTTTCTTCAAAATTTTTGAAAGCAGTGAAAAAGATTGGGAAGTTTGAGGAAATTGATTCATGTCGACAACGGTTGCTGAGCATTTGTTTTGTCTCTGTTGCTGAAATAAATACTATTTTATTGATCGATGGCAGACGTATCCAAGGCACAGAGGATACTCAACATTGTTTTTACGATGATGAACACGACGAAAAAAAATTCTATATAGCGTCAAGTACACAGCAGATTAGAAACTGGTTGAGGAAAATAGGGCAGCAACTTTTTGGAATGCTTTCGATGTGTTTTGAAGAACGAATTTCTCCGGAAAAAATTCGAGAAATGTTTGACTTTCTTGAGGATCCTGAAGGATTTAAATCTTACTGTGAAGACCTTTTAAATGAAGAAAATGAGGAGGAGGACACGATGCTATATCATCCAGGTCAGCTGGTGCCAAATGGCTTGCATGCGTTACTTAAGAATGACATTGCTGATCTAGGTGTTGGAGATTTAGTTGCCTATGAAACTTTTGACCCTGCTATTGATGTTGACGAAAACACTGCTGAATTGAATGATGCAAGTCTCGGTGCAGCATACATTTTTGTTAGAATTATTCAGAAATTGCCAATTGCTGAACAAGACCAGCTTTTTCAAAAATACAATGTGAATTTTGGCCAGGACAACGAAAAGGTCGTTTTGGGAATTCGTTTATACATAGTCACTTATCCAGGACCATCTACATCAAAGGAATTGGTGCTCCATCAGTTTGGCCATGACAAATCTCGCCTTTATAATAAATGCAAGATTTTCGATCAAATCATTGTCACTTTGTCAAATGCATGGAAACTAGATGACTCTGACAGGAAACGGGTTGTTAAAAGATTATTGTTGTTATGGCATCCTGACAAAAACAGAAGTCAAAGTAATGAATATGAAACATTTTGCAAAGAAGTTACACAATTCATTCTTGATATAATCCGACGCCTTGAAAAAGGGGAACGTTTTGATGTTCCTTATTATAGAGAACATTACGAGGGCAAGACACGACGCAGAAGAAAAGAGACTTACGATTGCAATACAGATGGCCAAAGGAATAGGGGCTATGATAACTGGCATTACGGCGAGGAAAAATTTGAAAAATGGCAAAGATTCAGGGATCATATATCATCAAAATATACTGAAAATCTAAGTCGTTGTTGGTCCTTTTCGGCACATGAAATGAGATATTTTCCTGACCCACAACCTGCAGAAGCAAAGAGATGGTTTCGGCAAGCCAGTATGGATTTCCGTAATGGAGTCAACTCTTTAGAATACAGAAACTCCAAAGAAGGTACTGATACATATTGTGAAGACTACAACTGGATTTGCTTCAAATTTCATCAGGTGAGATTTAGATTTTCCTATTGTGCTATTTTGAAATTGCTCTATCTTCCTATTAAAAAGCCGTTCCCAAGTCCACCAGTCAATAAACCAATAAACACAGCTTACAGAATAATAATGGGATCAAACATTAGAATGTTTTTTTAATGCAATGTTACTTAAGTAATTGGATATGCATAACTTTGATAAAGCAGCAGAAACGAGAAAACATCATAATACAGATTTTCGCCATATTGATTACTCATAATCTCTTTTGATTATATTTTAAAGTGGGATTGGAAATGCGTTTCATATCAGGGTATTTATAAGGAACCGGTCACCAATGTCCTTTATCATTTTTAGGCTTGTGAGAAGGCATGCAAAGCTTACATGTACTCCATTGATGCAAAGAAAGTGACAACCAGATCACATTACCTGCCCAGTATTATTCCTTCCAAGGCTGGAAATGAACTCATTGCTGTTCTGACTGATATTGAAAATCTTGTTGGGAACTACTCAAAAATGCGTTATCCGGATGTTCTGGAATACCCTCGTTTACCCGCGGACTTATACACGAAAGATCAGGTGAATAAACTTAAGGATTTAACAGAAAGCGTTATGGAAATGATAGAAAACCGAGTATAAGCATGTTCCAAGCACCTTACTGGTGACAAAATGTGACAGATTCGTATGGATGAAGCATACATTTCCTTTGATAATTTGAGACTAGAGTCACTTCTTTGTCGTTCACTTAAATGGAATTGTATGATCAGTGTTTTCATATAGTGGCTATTTTACTACCTCCATGTTTTATTAAAGAACTTGGTTTGTGGTTGGAACATATGAAAAATTCTAGTAATACGTAGCAATTTGACTGGCCACTACAATACAGCCTTTCCTTTGAATATGTAGATATTTGGCTGGTAAAAAGACGTTACCTTATCTTTGAATACAAGCCTAGTTCAACTCTTTTAAACTTGTAATATTACACTGTTATATCGTGATTTATTGCAATCAAATATACAAATACTAGCGTTTTGTTATTCAATTTATGACTGATGTTAGACTCATCTGTGTGCTTATGTGGTACTATAATGGTGTACAATATTTTCAATGTGTTTTCCTGATACTATAATGGTGTATGATATTTTCTGTGTTTTTGTGTTACTATAATGGTGTATGATATTTTCTATGTGTTATCGTGTTACTATAATTGTGTACGATATTTTCTTTGTGTTTTTGTGTTACTTTAATAGTGTACGATATTTTCTATGTGCTTTTGTGTTACTATAATGGTGTATGATATTTTCTGTGTTTTTGTGTTACTATAATGGTGTATATTTTCTATGTGCTTTTGTGTTACTAAAATTGTGTACGATATTTTCTATGTGTTTTCGTGATACTATAATGGTGTATGATATTTTCTGTGTTTTTGTGTTACTATAATGGTGTATATTTTCTATGTGTTTTTGTGTTACTATAATGGTGTATATTTTCTATGTGTTTTCATGTTACTATAATTGTGTATGATATTTTCTATGTGTTTTCGTGATACTATAATGGTGTATGACATTTTCTATGTGTTTTCGTGTTACTATAATTGTGTATGATATTTTCTATGTGTTTTCGTGATACTATAATGGTGTATGACATTTTCTTTTGTTTTCGTGTTAATATAATGGTGTATAATATTTTCTATGTGTTTTTGTGTTACTATAATGGTGTATATTTTCTATGTGTTTTCGTGTTACTATAATGATGTTTGATATTTTCTATGTGTTTAAGCGTTACTGTAAGTAAATGCCACTTTCAGACATATGCTTATTGACTTATACTGGCTTTAAAGCTGTTGGCATATTGAATTAGATGAATATTTTCTCTTCGCATGTTTATATTACATAGCATGATAATGTCTGTTTTCATTGTAGATACAGTGTTGTGTAAATAGTTTTTAAATATAATATCTATGTATCAATATATTTCTCGTCTTGTGTATACATTAACCAAATTTTGTAGTTGATAGAGTTTTTGTACTTGTTACCTTTGTTGGTTTTCTCTAGTTTTAAACATATACTTAAGCAAAAAATATCATATACATGTATATGTGGTTTGTATTTTATAGTGGCTGCTGATGAAATTGTCTTCCTTTTTAATGGCGTTTGTTTGTAATGCTTTATGATGCTAAATTAAGTCTATGGAAAAGCACATCAGCACTGATATATTGCTGTAAAATTTACTATGAATGCTTTTTAAAATTCAGGTTAAGCTTTGTAAGATTATGATTTGTACCTATTAATTTTGTAAATAATGAAATTGTCATAGAAATATTATATTGTAGGTATTATATTAGCACTACCATGTAATGTTTAGACATTTACATATATATATAAGCGATGAACCTATCAGCTATATCTAATATTCATGATTGTTTCAACTTTATTTCTACCTTCTACTTTTTTTATTTTGTTTGTGAAATCTTAAAGTCTAATCATTATATTGTTCCATTGCTTTTCCAGCAAACAAAGTGTATTGGAATACGATTGTGTGTTTTATCTGTTTATATACACACATATATATATGTATAATTATGAACTTATTTAGTGTTTGAAAGAATGTATGTACCTTAATATGAATTCCAACTGCACAAAGCTTTATCCACTGCTTTATTTGTCATAATGCCATAAATAGATGATTTTTTTCTATTGAAATACGACAGAACATGTGATTAAATTCAATTTTATATCACATTTATTAGAAATATACAAAACTTTCATAGGTGTTTATGTATCTATGCACATAAGTGAAATGATTTTACATATCTATATATTTGAAGAAGAATAATCTTAAACATTGCAAATAATAGTGATTTATGCTGATTCCATGCCATATTAAGACAATGAATCAATTAATCAAATACTGCATTTCATTCACAAGATTGAATTTGATATCGATACACTGTGTTGGTATAGTTCTGCCTTTATTTATAACATAGTGAACTAAATGGATGTTAGAAATGATATTGATTTAGTTCTATTAAATATAACGATACTTAATATTGAATTAACGCAAGGACAGGCATTGTCTGTGAACTAAATGGATGTTAGAAATAATATTGATTTAGTGCATTTAAATATCATTAAATATAACGATACTTAATATTGAATTAACGCATGGACAGTCATTGTCTGTGAACTAAATGGATGTTAGAAATAATATTGATTTAGTTCTATTAAATATAACGATACTTAATATTGAATTAACGCAAGGACAGTCATTGTCTGTGAACTAAATGGATGTTAGAAATAATATTGATTTAGTTCTATTAAATATAACGATACGTAATATTGAATTAAAGCAAGGACAGTCATTGTCTGTGAACTAAATGGATGTTAGAAATGATATTGATTTAGTTCTATTAAATATAACGATACTTAATATTGAATTAAAGCAAGGACAGTCATTGTCTGTGAACTAAATGGATGTTAGAAATGATATTGATTTAGTTCTATTAAATATAACGATACTTAATATTGAATTAACGACAGGACAGTCATTGTCTGTGAACTAAATGGATGTTAGAAATGATATTGATTTAGTTCTATTAAATATCATTAAATATAATGATAATTAATTTTGAATTAACGACAGGACAGTCGTTGTCTGTGAACTAAATGGATGTTAGAAATGATATTGATTTAGTTCTATTAAATATAACGATACTTAATATTGAATTAACGCAAGGACAGTCATTGTCTGTGAACTAAATGGATGTTAGAAATAATATTGATTTAGGTCTATTAAATATCATTAAATATAACTATAATTAATATTGAATTAACGCAAGGACAGTCGTTGTCTGTGAACTAAATGGATGTTAGAAATGATATTGATTTAGTTCTATTAAATATAACGATACGTAATATTGAATTAAAGCAAGGACAGTCATTGTCTGTGAACTAAATGGATGTTAGAAATAATATTGATTTAGTGCATTTAGATATCATTAAATATAACGATACTTAATGTTGAATTAACGCAAGGACAGTCATTGTCTGTGAACTAAATGGATGTTAGAAATGATATTGATTTAGTTCTATTAAATATAACGATACTTAATATTGAATTAACGCAAGGACAGGCATTGTCTGTGAACTAAATGGATGTTAGAAATAATATTGATTTAGTGCATTTAAATATCATTAAATATAACGATACTTAATATTGAATTAACGCAAGGACAGTCATTGTCTGTGAACTAAATGGATGTTAGAAATAATATTGATTTAGTTCTATTAAATATAACGATACGTAATATTGAATTAAAGCAAGGACAGTCATTGTCTGTGAACTAAATGGATGTTAGAAATGATATTGATTTAGTTCTATTAAATATAACGATACTTAATATTGAATTAAAGCAAGGACAGTCATTGTCTGTGAACTAAATGGATGTTAGAAATGATATTGATTTAGTTCTATTAAATATAACGATACTTAATATTGAATTAACGACAGGACAGGCATTGTCTGTGAACTAAATGGATGTTAGAAATAATATTGATTTAGTTCTATCAAATATCATTAAATATAACTATAATTAATATTGAATTAACGACAGGACAGTCGTTGTCTGTGAACTAAATGGATGTTAGAAATAATATTGATTTAGTTCTGTTAAATATCATTAAATATAACTGTAATTAATATTGAATTAACGACAGGACAGTCGTTGTCTGTGAACTAAATGGATGTTAGAAATAATATTGATTTAGTTCTGTTAAATATCATTATAAATATAATGACACTTTTACCTTTTCTTTAGATACAATGACTGGAAGATATCGTTAATTTTTCAGGGAGGTCTTGGAAGCATTTTATAAATCTAAAAAAGTTTTTTATCTTATCATGGATTTGTTTAATTTACATTGTCAGCTTTCATTAAGTATTTTGCCCAAATAACTTATTTCCTATAAATATGGAATGACTTGTTCCATTACCAACTAATACAGTCATGAAAATATTACAGTAGGTAGTTTATGGATATCTCATATTAAAGTTATTTGTCACAAAGAAAATGGGCAGGGTTTAGCTATCAGTCAACAGCTATTGTGAATTGCTGTTTCTCCTGGATTAACTTGATGCCGAAACCATTTTGTTCCTAGCTGCATTAGGTGAATACTTGTATCTGACACTTTGAATGGTATTATTGTTTAAATACCGTAAATAAAAGTGTTGACTTTTTTATTTTGATTAGTTTATGAGATCACAAATCTAATGGAGTTGTCAGTAAACTGTTTGTAACCATGATGTTACCTAGTTTGATTCATGATCCCATAAACAAATATGTATGTAAAACGTTAATAAGTTTGTTGAGTTGTAACATTTGCTTCTAACTTAAAGTATATATTGAATCGTATAAATGGGATCTTGAATGATTTTCCCTTTGATTTGGAATTCTTTGAAACTTGTCTTAGACTTGGATTTCCTTGGTTCCTAGTTGTGTTCTCAGTAGAAAATTTCTCTTCGTTTTAAGCAGTGTCTGTTCAATTTTAATAGTGTACAAAAAAGAAAATGGGTGATCGATGTCTATCTTAGATTTAAACAATTACCAACTGTAAGGTCTGCTATCGGTATCTGCATATGAT